TTGATCCCTGGTACCAAAAAAAAAAAAAAAGAAAAGAAAGAAAAAAGAAAACAGTTTCTCAGCACAATATCCCCAAACGAACTCTAAAACTGTATGTTCAGTAACCGGCTCTGGAAGATGGAGACCTAACTGAAGTAGAGAGTGAGGAACATTCCATTATTTTGACAAGTGTTTGGAAACCTGTGAGCAGGAGGCTAGGCCAGGAAGCCACCACCAAGGAGACATCAGAACTGCCTTGGCCATCACCCTTTCCACATAGCTATACTGTCAGCCGGGGCAAGGAGAGACCTCATCCCTTCAGCACGGTTCAGCCCATTGTGGTGACCATGGATTAGCTGCAGTTTTCCCTCTTTCAGCCTAAGGAGTGAAGAGGAGTCACCATAAAGTACAGTGGATCCTTGACTTATGAACTCAATTCATTCCCGAGGACTGGCCGTAACTCAAGTTGGTCAGTGGAAGGCTCAGGCTCCTCTCTACAGCCTTCTAAGTCTCTCTCCTGTACACAGGCAGATCTCAGTGTCCTTAGAGAGACCCTGGCTCATGATTTCTCAATTAACCCCACACAGGAAAGGATGTTGTCATGTTCCTTCCAGAACTCTTTAAGGGTGAAATCTCTATCTGAGACCATCTGGAAGCACAAGCAGGCAGCATTCAGGTCGTCACTCAAGACTTTGGACATAAGTTAAAACTAAAATTCTGATCGTAACCCAAGTTGTTCATATGTCAGGCCAGTTGTAACTCGAGGGTCCATTGTATTACGAGTTTAGGGCACCAAGGCATAGATGAGGCTGGGTGGGACCAACACCAGGGAGATCTGATCCAGGCTGGAGAGGGTATCGGGAGGACACCTGAAGAATTGACACTAAGTGAAGGACTAGAACAAGTCAGACAGGGAACAGGGTGAAAAAAATGTTAAGCATTTCAATTTTAGGGAACCACTTAACCAGGGAAATTACTGGGTGGCCTGGAAGCCACAGAGGTGAGCTTTGAGGAGAAAGATGAGATGCGATACACCATAAGCTTCTGGCCAGGAGGCAAGCGGATAGTGAAATGTCTGCTGGCAGCTCCATGCGGAGGGGAAATCTGTCTCCAGCTTTCATGGGAGCAGAATGGGTTAGCACAGCTTGGGGTTTGGAGACTCCAAAGAGATGGTTCCAGAAGGATGAGAAAGGCAACCACTGGGCCATAAAAGCTTTATGAGCTATACTAAGACATTTGGCACAGAAAGAAATATGCTTTGCAAATTGTCCCTACCATGACAGTCTTGAGACTCAGGAGCCGGCTGTGATGTTGGAGACTCCACGTGGAACCGAAGAGGGACCGAGCTGACCCCCTCAGGTTTCCGTCTGTCATGCCCAATGGCCGTGGTGCCGGTATCTGTAAGGTCAGGTACGTGGCCCTGTGCTGAAGATTTGCTTTCTTCTGCAGGCTGTACTTTGGCGAGAAGATTGGGTTGTATTTTGCGTGGCTGGGCTGGTACACTGGAATGCTGATTCCCGCCGCAGTCGTTGGACTGTGTGTCTTCTTCTATGGACTGGTAACCATGAATGGAAGCCAAGTGAGGTAAGCTACTGGGACACTTGTCAAAAACTGCTTGGCCAGGGCCGGGGATGTAGCTCAGTGGTGCCATGCCTGCTTCACAAGCCCAAAGTCCTGAGTTCAATCCCCAGTACCGGAAAAGAAAAGAAAAAGAAAAAACAAAACTGCTTGGCCTATGTTTTGAGTGTGCAAAAGATTACAGATAATGCCGGTCATAAAAACAATAAAAATAAAATTATTTGTTGTTTTTTCAAATACAAAAGACTATTAAAAGGGCAGTTTTATACTTTTGTTTGTAAATTCTCTCAGGTAAATTCCAAATCTGCTTATCTTTGTCCCAAATTTCTTCTTTCCAGAATACCCCACATAACAATTTAAAAATAATAGTGAAATAGTCAAACACATATCAGAATGGTGATTATTTGGTTAAAATGAAATGGCTAATGATTTAGAAATAGGAATATGTTGATCCTAGAAATAATACATGATTATGCAATAGAGACAGGAGTCACCTAGGATTAAAGGCTCTTCTTAGCAGCACATTCTGTTGGCATATAGATCATGAATATGTCAACAATTCAGCTTCGTAAGGCCAAATTCAGATCTGAAGCCACATGCTTCCTTCCCTCTCTTTTGGTGCTCAGCATGCTCTTCTCCTTTGGTCCGCCTTTAACCAGGGCCTTGCTGCTGGGCTGTAACAGCAACACCCCGTTCTATTGTTAGAGTCCTCAAGGGATGTTAAAAATTAATTTCCCTGCTAAGTGGATGCACATTGAGGCGATACTCTTAAGTTAAATAAATAGGACACACATGTATATAAATACTGAATAGTTTCTCTGGTGTGAGAAACTGAAAGTGTAAATATAGACTAAATGTATAATAGGTAATGTGAAATAGGAAGAAAAGGGGCAAATGGGAAGGAAGTGAGAGGGCTAGGGGAAAGGATAGAAGGGAATGGGATTAATATGAGAAAATGGAAAAATAGGAACAAAATCTTTGT